GAACGTAGGTAGCAAGGGGGTATTTATAACAGGAATCACATCCAGTTTGGTAAGCAAACTTGTTATCTAGCACAGAACAACAGAAACTGCATTCATTTGACACAGCTGCAAACTGTTCATAACTAAACGGTCTTTCACAGCTTAGTGATAAGTGCATATTTTTACAAGATATATCTTAAGCTGACTACGTTACAGGAGATGGTTGGGGAGGGAGTTTGTGTTAGCTTGCTGCCTTGACAAGAAACAGTTATTTATTGTTGAACAGCCTTGAGCCGAAAGGGAGAATATATTTCTTACAGCAGATAACAGGAAGCACAAGGGGTTTTTATAATTTTTTACAATTAAGGCACAAAACTCTATTAACCCTTTACATATATACATATATATACATATATATATATATATGCACAACTTGCTTACTTTGTCCATTATGGTGATGCATGCCTGTAACCCAGTTACTCAGGAGGCTGAGGCAGAAGGATCACATGAACTCAAAGCCAACCTGGGTTACATAGCAAGATCTAAAAAACAAGCCCCACGAGACATATTCAACCTGCTTAATGACCTCAGTCACTTCAGGGGAGAATGACAGCTGTTCCCAAGTTGGCACACAAAGTGGCTGCATTCAAAGCCAAACTGCTGCTGGGATTACAGGCATGTGCCCCTATGCCCAGCTGAGCCAAGGCCTTCTTTCCACCAGTGCCTGACCACTTATCTCAGCTTCCCAAAGACTGCACACTGCTTTCCAACCAAAACAGACCCCCGAAGTGGATAGGGCTGGACTCACGACCTGTTCGTGAATACGCCAGGAGAATCGACTTTGTCCATAGTAGATGGTAAACTGAGATGACAAATGTCAGTGGCCTTACGAGTTGTCTGGGACAACGCCTCATCCCTATATGTTCTAGGCTGATTTCAGGACAGAATGTCTTGAGACTGCCACAAAAGCACTGAAAGCCCGCTTCCATTTCCAGCATCTTGTCTTTATGAAGCTGGGTTTTCTGCAGTAACAGCAACCCAAGTGATCCACAGCGTGGATGGGACCTAGGCAACACACTGAGGCCACCATGACCACAGAGGGGACCGTCCGGCTGCAGGAAAGCAAGGCAGGGCTCCCACTGACTGCGCTGTGAACTATCTAATTATCTCACTGTATGTTACAACATAATAGTAGAAATTAAGCCACGCAATAAACGTAATTGCTGCATCATCCTGAAGCCATCCGCTACCCCAGTTCCTTTAAAAACTGTCTTCCACCAAGTGGGTCCCTGGTGCAGAGCAGGACGGGCCCACTTCCTTCAGCGCAGCACTTGGCCACCTGGCCCCCGAGGGACACTGGGGCTTCCGCTTTCGCGATTCGCTCCGTCCTGTGCAGGAAGCAGGCTGGGGCGGGGCCTTCGGGTTCAGCCGAGGAAAGCAAGAAGCCGCGGCCCCTCCCTCCCTTGCGAGACTTCCCCGCGGGCCTGTAGGCTCCGACCGAGTCGGTTCCCCCTCCAGGGTCTGTCGTCTAGCCTGGTGCAAAGGAAAGGTTCTCCGTGTCCTGCAGGGCCTGGTGTGGCTGCGGGGGACAGAAATTTGGGATTCCGTCGGCCCCGCCCCGCCCCCTAGGCCTCACTTCCGGGATTTGGGGTGGGGCAAAATTTATGGTTCCAAAATACGTACTGCGCCTGCGTCCAATCCGCCTGGCGCCTGCGCACTGCGCGCCGCTCCTCCTGACCGGACATAACGGTCCGCGCGCGGCTCCGAGGCCGGAAGTGGAGGAAGTGTCGCTGGAGAGCCGGCCTCACTCAGCGCCGGCCAGGAGTCGGCGCCGCCAGGGCCTTCCTCAGCCGACATGTCCGCCAGCGCCGTCTACGTATTGGACCTGAAGGGCAAGGTACTCAGGGTGCCCACACTTCCCGTTGCCAGGCAACCCTCTAAGGCCTCGCCTCGAGAAGGACCCACCCTGTTGCTAGGTAACCGGCCGAGGGGGCCCCACCCTGGCGAGAGGCGGAGGCGCGGGAGCGTCACCCTGGGTCCCCTCGGCTGCTAGGTAGCAGGCTGTGGTCCAAGCTCTGGAGCCACTCCCCGTTAGGTAGGGAGGCAGCCTCGTTGCTGCCAGGTAACCTGCGGCGGCATCCCCGCCCCCGTAAGCCCAGCCGCGACCCCTGACTGGGCGGCCAGGCCTGGCAGGCCAGTGCCCTGGCTGCTGCCTGCTGTGTCCGCCGTCCGCCTTCTCCCGAGGCACAATCCCGACCTTCCTCCAAACGCTGGATTGGGGAGGTGTGCTGTGAGAGGGGAAACTGAGGCACGGGGGCAACCAACCCTGCTGAGGTCGCACGCTGCAGCGAGAGGTTCCCAGATCTGGGAGTTCCCCCTCCCCCGATCATTTGTGCGTGGAGCTAGGGTATGAAAAAACCCTGTCCAGTGTTGGGGTCCCCGGGCGGGCTGGAGGGGAACATGTGGCACAGAGTCTTGACAAGCAGATGTCTGCTGCAGCGGTGCGTCCGTGAGTACTGGGAATGGCCTCCTTCAGGGGAGGACACACGGGTCCTGTGTCATCCGCAGAGCCTGGGGCGTTTAAGACAATCCTGCTTTTTCTTTCTGGTCCTAAGCACTAGCCTATGTCCTCTTGCGTGCCAGGCAATGTGTTACCACTGAGCTCTGCCATAGTTCAAAAACTTTTTCCAGCACTGAGGGCGGATCCCAGGGCCTCACACTGAACTCCAACCTCAGCCCTTTTCTATTTTTTATTTTGAGACAGGGTCTAGCTAAGTCTCTCAGTTGTCCAGGCAGGGCTGAAACTGGTAACCCTCCTGTTTCATCCTCCTGGAGTGCTGGGATGACAAGCACAGTTCTGGTAACTTTTTTTTTTTTTCTTTTGAGACAGGGTTTCACTATGTGCAATGAAACCCTTTCACTATGTATAGGGTTTCACTATGTTCAGGTGGACCTTGAACTCACTGTATAGCCCAGGGTGGTCTTCAGCTGCTGACAGTTCTGCCTCAGCCTCCCACATACTGGAGTCACAGGCCTGTGCCACCATGCCCAGCTGAGAACTTGTCCAGGCCTTAAAAACTGGGCAGGAGCCTTCCCCAGAGGCCACCCCCAGTGGACAGTGACTGTCTGGCCTTCCCTGTGGGAACCAGAATTGGTCCAGCCATACCAGACATGCCCCACATTCATGGGGAGGGCTAGTGGGTGTTCCATCATGCTGGTTAGGGGCCCAGAAACTACAGCAGGCAGCAATGAATGGCTTTTTCTTCTGGTGTTCTGGCATAGATATGTGGATGGCGCCCAGAGTCAACCCTGCTGTGTCCCCAGGCGGGCCTTGGGAGTGGGGAAACCCCATCCTGGAGGAGGCCTGGTGCTCCTGCTCCAGCCTGGCCACTGTACCCTGTCTCAGCCTCCTGTCTTATCAGCTGGCCTTTCCTGCAGGCCCCACGGACAGCTGTGGCCAGGTTTGTGCACCTTGGATGGCACCTGCTGCCCTGGGCCTGCCTCCCTCACCATGAAGCACTGTGCAAACGGAGCAGCCCCACCCTGGCTGCAGTGCTGAGAGCTCTCCAGCTTTCGGGACAGACACAGCCAGGCATGTCACTGAGCACTTGGGCCAGGCAGCCAGAGGGCCAGGGGACACAGCCCCAAGTAAGCAGTCACTCAGCCTCGTATGTGAGGTTACTAAAGGCTCCCTGGCAAAGTATGATGCCCAAGCTGGTTTGAGAAGATGACAGGTGATAGTCCAGTGAAGGCAAGGTGTGCCTGTGGGCAGGAGGGCAATGGGCAGCCAAAACACTGGCAGAAGACAACCTATTCTGGGCCATGGTGTGGAGAATACCCAGACAACACAGCCCATGGAGGCCAGGGAGATGGCTCAGTAGAATAAGTGCTTGCCTGGCTAGTGCAAGGGCCTGAGTTCAATCCCCAGTTCTGCAAAAAAAAAAAAAAGGGGAAAAAAAAAAAACAACAGCCCAGGGAACACTGAGGGCAGAAGGCATCTCCCAAGGAGATGGCTACCACAGTGCCCACATCCCCTGCTGGGGCTTTTGCCTCCCAGCAGCAGCTTCCCTGAGCAGAAGGAAGGAAGCAAGCTGGACATTGTGGCACAGGCCTGTGGTCCCAGCACTTGGAAAGCTGAGGCGGGAGGATCGTTGCCTGTTGAAAACCAGCCTGGGCTACAAAGTGAGCTCAAGGCCAGCCTGAGCTGTGTAGCAAGCTTGTGTCTCAAAAAGACACACAAAAAAATCTGGGGCAGCCCCTGGTTTGAGAAGGTGACAGGGGACAGTCACCTGACAGCACTAGCCAGGACAGGAGCCATCAGCAGCCTGGGGCTGTGAGCTGGGTCCCTCTGCCAAGACCCAAGGGGCCCCACTATGCAAGCAGCATGGGGTCTGCACTTCCGGACCCACTTCCCTGTATCCTCACCACCTACTGTGCCTTCCTCTCGTCCCTGGAAGGCAGGGTCCAGCCGCCCCTGCCCTTACTCTGGACTGTGAGTCCTGTCCGAGCCCCATGGTATGCCTAGGACTCTGGACGCACTGGACTCCCATCCCCCAGGGTCCCTGGTGGCCCCCAGCACCCGGCCCTGCCTTCTTGCTGGCACAGCAGCAGCACCGCTGTGGCCACAATGGTCCCTCTCCTCTCACTTCATGTCTGTGTGGGCCAGGTCCTCCCCAGTGAAGGACGCAGACATGGCTGTCCTCAGGGACAGTGCACACGAGGGAGTAGCTAAGCGTGCTCTGCGGTGGGCAGTGGGGGCAGGCAAGGCACCAGCCAGGACAGGAGCCATCAGTGGCCTGGGGCTATAACCTGAGTGCTAGAGGCCAGCAGTGGCCCTTGTGGAAAACAGAGCCGCCTGGCTCTGCACAGGGAGCCCTGTCACCCGGAAGGCCTGCCACCCGCAAGGTCCCTGCCCCCCTGCGACTGCGTGTGGACAGCCTGCTGTCCTCCATCTAGCCCCCTCACTCCGGCCTTAGTTGCAAGTTCAGGCCTGCCTAGTGATACCTGCCTGTCATCCCAGCACTGTGGGAGGCTGAGGCAGGACGACCGCAAGTTCCAGCCAGCCTAGGCAACTTGGTCCGACCTTGTCTCAGAATAAAAAAGGGCTGGGGTACAGCCCAGCACCCACCACCCCCAGCACCAGCAAATGCAGAAAAGAATGAATGACTGGTGCTGCTGTAAATCATCCCATGTGCGCATCTTGATGCCATTGCCATGGCTTTGGGTCCTTGCAGGCTGGCATCCAGGAGCAGCAGAATGGACATGTGTTACTGTCCTTCCAGACCCAGGGGCCTGCTTCAGCCCTGCAGAGGCACGGGAAACCCCAGGCTGGAGATGGAGGAGGCTGCAGTGCCCCTGACTGCCCCACCTGCCCACCCACAGGTGCTCATCTGCCGCAACTACCGAGGTGACGTGGACATGTCGGAGGTGGAGCACTTCATGCCCATCCTGATGGAGAAAGAGGAGGAGGGTGTGCTATCACCCATCCTGGCCCACGGAGGCGTGCGCTTCATGTGGATCAAGCACAACAACCTCTACCGTATCCCTTGGCAGGAACCCGTGGGGACACTGCAGTGGTCCTGTAGATAGTGTGATGCCCATCCTGGGAGATGAGCAGTGACTGTGGCCAAAGAGTGCCCCATGCCTCAGGGTCTGCAGTGCTGTATTACAGCAGATAGTCTAGGAGTGTGGCAGGCTGTGCCATCTTAGGGCGCAAATGCGGGGAGGGAATGGAGGGCCCAGCTTGGGTCACCGAAACGGCTAGGCTCCAGCAGCCAGGTGGCCCCCTGAGGGTCTGAGTGGCGGCCCCAGGGGACAGCAGCCAGCACTACTGTCCTGGTCTCCCCCTGGAGAGGACCTGGCTGGGAGGCATGTGTTTGGCCTCCTGCTACCTCATGGCCAGTTGAGGTGACCCATGGCTGAGGGAGAGGACACCCAGAGCCCAGCTGTGCTGCCCAGATGGTGCCCTGGTGATGTCCAGGTGTCCCTGCTTGGACAGCTGAGGCAGTGGCTAGCACCTGGGAGATAGCTGTCATCGGCATCCCCTGACGCTGCACTACTGGCCTGGCTGCCCAGGTGTGGGAGGAGCCAGCCCATGTGCACAGCCTGAGCCCCAGGCCCTATCCACCCTGTTCCACACGTTCCACAGCTGGGGAGGGGTCCCCAGGGCTTCCTCTGGCGCAGCCAGATTCCTAGTTCTGTTGCTGACAGCCCCTGGAGATCCCAGGCACAACCCCCAGCACGCCCTGCTGGCCCTGAGGAGGAGAGAGCCCCCCACCCCAGGAAGGAGGCCCGGGGGTTCCTGCAAGGCCTCAGCCTGTAGCCCTGGCCCTGCACCTCTGCGGCCACCACTGCTCCCCAGGCTGGGCCGATGCAGGCCTTCCTTTGCTGAGCTTTGCCCTGGCACCTTCGCTGTTTTAATCCCGAGGCAGGACTGGCTAAGCAGCCACCCTCCTGCCTGGAGCCATAGCTCCAGGTTGAGGTGCAACTTCCCATGCAGCAGGGCCTCTGCCAGTGCCACTGTGCCAGGCAGCGATGACCGGGCTGGGCTGGAGCAGGCTGTCCTTAACATGCCCACACAGTGGTCGCCACGTCCAAGAAGAATGCTTGCGTGTCACTGGTGTTCTCCTTCCTCTACAAGGTGGTTCAGGTGAGCCCTGCCTCCAGGGAGCAGAGCTGAGTTGGGGTGGCGCCCGGGAGCGGGGCTGGACCTTGGGCTCTGCTCACCCAGGCCTGCCTGCCACCCACCAGGTGTTCTCCGAGTATTTCAAGGAGCTGGAGGAGGAGAGCATCCGTGACAACTTCGTCATCATCTATGAGCTGCTGGACGAGCTCATGGACTTTGGCTACCCACAGACCACGGACAGCAAGATCCTGCAGGAGTGAGTGTGGGGCCGCTGGGGCACCTCCTATGCATCTGCTTGGCTTTGCTTCCTCTTTTCTTTTCTCGTGCTAGACAAGCGCCCGCTCCTCAGCCCCAGCCCAGTCCTTTCTATTTTATTTTGAGATAACATCGGGCTAATTGGCCCAGACACTGGTCAAACCCGAGATCTTGCCTCAGTCTCCCTGATAGCTGGGATGAGGGGGGTTTGCCATACCTGGCTCATGCCCACTTCCCATTCTCCTAACACTGTCTCCTTGGATCCCAGAAATGAGCGCCTCGGGCCATTGCCTCGGGTCTGGTCACCAGGGGCCACCACCTGTGGGACTTGCTGGCGTGGAAGGGACTGTGGAGGTGGGACCCATGGCCAACACCCCTAACCTGAGCAGAGGCCCACAGGTATATCACGCAGGAAGGCCACAAGCTAGAAACTGGGGCACCGCGGCCCCCGGCCACTGTCACCAATGCAGTGTCCTGGCGGTCAGAGGGCATCAAATACCGGAAGAACGAGGTGTTCCTGGATGTCATCGAGTCCGTCAACCTCTTGGTGGGTACCCACTGCTGTCCCTGTAAACGCAGTCTTCCAGGGAGGGGCCAGCCCACAGCCTGGACTCCTTGTTCAGAGTTGGGGTCAAAGAGTGGCCCCCAAGAGCCTGGTCACCTTGGCGACCCGCCCCACCCCCCACCCCTGCAGGACATGGTGCCCTAGAACACTAGATCCTGAGGTGCAGTGCTCCCCACTGCAGGTCTGGTTCTGAGGATTTAGGTTTTGGCTGTGTTTAGGCTTCTTTTTTTCTTTGTTTGTTTTCTCTGGCGCAAGCCAACCACAAGCCCCCGGCTCTCCTTCGTCTGGGTTCTCTACGTGCTGGGGCCTGAACTGACTGAGCCAGGGCTCCCTGCCCAGCAGGACACAGGCCCCAGCTGCCCCAGTGCCGGCCCGTCCCTGGTGACAGCCCATCTGTTCCCTGTGTCCAGCTTAGCTCTGGAGACCTGTGGCAAGCAGCATCACGTGACACCATGGCCCTGTGCCCCGGCCCCATCACGTACCCATCCACCCCCACACGGTGTGCGGCATGCGTTTCTGGGTGTGCAGCGCTGAGTCGAGGGCAGCGGCAGCAGTGGCTGCAGGGAGGGTGTGAGCGCCCACTCTGGCCTCATCAACCCTGGAGCGGCGTACCTGTGCAGGGGAGCAGCTGCAGGCCAGAGGAGCCCGGGGCGGCCCTGAGGCCCTTGTGGGCCTGAGCATCAGTGCCATCCCCGTTGGGGCGCGTGGTGTGGAGCATCGGTGCATAGGCTTCTTTTGTAACATAGATTCTTGTGTCTTTTTCTTTTTTCTTTTTTTTTAGCGGAACCGGGGATTGAACTCAGACCCTTGTGCTTGCCGGGGAAGCACTTATTCTCCTGAGCCATCTCCCCAGCCCCAACATACAGTTTCTAAGGACACAAGGCTCTGTCGTTTTTTGTTTCTTTGTCTTTTTGAGACAAGGCCTCACTGTGCAGCAGCTCAGGCTGGCCTTGAGCTTCCCTTGTAGCCCAGGCTGGTCGCAGACTCACAGCAGTCCTCCAGCCAGCCGCCCAAGTGCTGGGATCACAGGTGCGCGCCACCATGCCGGCAGTGTCTTTCAAGCATTTGTAAGTTGGGTCATTTGTGTTTTCTCTGTGGAGTGCTAGAAGTTCCTTATATATCTCAGACACCAGACTTCGTGAGACACGTGGTTTGCAAGTTTGCCTTTTTATTCTCATAGTAATATCATTTTATTTTGTTTTTTTTTTTTTGTTTTTTTTTTTAATTTTTTTTTTTATTTATTTATTTGAGAGAGAGAGAGAGAGAGAGAGAGAGAGAGAGAGAGAGAGAGAGAGAGGTGTGTGTGTGGCCAGCTCAGCCCACCAGGGGGCGGGGCTGGCTGGCATGTGGTGCTGGGGGATTGAACCGCGGTCCCCGATGCTTTGCTAAGCTTGTTCCAAGTAGGTGCTTTAGACCACTGAGCCATCTCTCCAGCCCCTCATTTTATTTTGTTGAGGCCGGCACTTGCTGTACAGTTGAGGCTGGCGACAAGCTCACAGCAGCCCCCCTGCTGCAGCTTCCCCCGTGCTCGGGTCGCAGGCGTGTGCCAGCACATGTGGCAGCAGTGTCTCTCATAGAGCAAACGTGTTTAACTGTGCTGAAATCCAGCCTTCGATGCCTTTGTTGTTGGGGGGCAGTTGTTTGTTGGTTTGGTTTGGTGGAACCAGGGATTGAAGTCAGGCCCTTGCGCCTGCCAGGCAAGCGCTTATTCTCCTGAGCCCCGCCTTTGTTGTCGATTGTGCTGTTTGGTGCCAGGTTGAGCTCAGTGCCAACCCGAGCATAGCAGCTTCCTCCTGCACGTTCTGAAAATTCTGTTCACCTAAGTTTCCATCTGTGGCCAATTTTTAATTAAATTTTACAGAAGGTATGGTGTGTGGTGGGGTTTTTTTTGTTTTGTTTTGTTTTTGTTTTCCATCTTTTTGAGTCAGCGTCTCACTCTGCAGTTCTGGCTGGCTTTGAACTCACTGTGTGGCCCAGGCTGATCACAAATTTGCAATGATCCTCCTGCCTCAGCAGCCTCCCAAGTGCTGTGATTACGGGCGTGCGCCACCATGCCCAGAAGTGTGGTTTCTATCCATGTTATTTTGGATGTGATTTTTGCAGTTGTTCCCAACACCGGTTGCTTTTGTTGAAATCAAACCCACAGGGTGGTGTGACCTAGGAACCCATGAAGAGCCACTTCGAGGCCAGTGACTGTGGGAGAGTCCAGAGCTCAAGGCGCAGTTCCTGCTGCTGGGATTCACCCTAGAGACACTAGCGTCAGCTGGCTGAGCCGCACAGGTCTTCGGAGCTGCAGCATATTGTTCTGTTTAGGTGACAGCATGCAGATAGATGGCTTGCTGTCTGGAGTCCCTGATGCAGACATGCAGTGTGTGCCTGTCCTTCCCTGTATCTGCACACCTTGATGAGAATGCTGCCTTTCATCTCATCGGAGTCGTAGCTTCCACCAGGCACCTGTGCTGTTACACTCAGGCCTGGGGTGTCCAGTGTAGAGCTGGTATGTTTTGCACCTCGGCATCCCTGACTGGTCACTGCCCTGGGGTATAGGAGTGACTGACAGAGGTCTAGCGCTCTACATGAGGCCCCAGCCCACTCCCTGCTGAGACTGTGTTTTCCTGAGGGGCTCAGGGTCCTGGGACCCCAGCTAGGCCTGCTGGGGAGGGAGGGTGACTTGTCCAGGCTGTACCCCAAGGCAGGTCCAGTCCTAAGAGCAGTGAGCTGTGGTGCCCTGAGAGCCCGGAGCAGTGTGCATGCCCAGGAGGCTGCTCACTGCGCAGGACAGGTTCCGACCCCACCTCCCGCTCATGGAGTGCAGGCCCTGGCTGCTGCTGCTGATTCGTCTTATACTGTTGAGTTCCCTTGCTGGAGTTTGGCCAGAGACCTTTCATGTGCATTCACAAGTCATGTGGGCCTGAAACTTTTGTGGAACGCTGTCATCCGCCTGGGTGTCAGGCACTGGTGTCCTAGGAAATGAGCTGGGGTGCGCTTCTTTTATTTTCTGAAACAGGTCATATAGAATTGGGTTGGGGTTAAAGCTTCTTTAACTGCTGTTAAAACTCACTGGTACAGTGCTCTGAGCTTGGAGATCAGTTAGCTGACTGTTGTGTGGTGCCGGGACCCGCCCAGGGCTTCAGTCCTGCTAGCACCTGCTCTACACTGAGCTACATTCCCAGCCCTTTCTAGTGTTTTCTATTTTGAGACAGGGTCTGGATAAGTTACTGGGCAGGAACTTGCAACCCTCCTGCCTTAGCCTCCTGAGTGCAGGGGCTATAGGCATGTGCCGCCACTCCTGACCTTTGACCCCGTAGGCTTCCTGGCTGCTTTTGCTCTCACTGCTGTGTCGTCTCTAGCATGTCCTCCGGTGGCCAGCCCTTCCAGAAGCTGTGGGCAGGGCCAGAGCCTTTTATGTCCGGCATGCAGCTCAGGTGCCCGTGCTGCCAGCCTCTCTGGGCACTGCCGGCCCAGTGTCCACAGTCCAGCGGGCACTCCTTTCTGCCCCACACACTTCAGATGCTCCCAGAGATGTTTTCAGAGAGCTGTGGGCCATCCCACTTCATCTGCCACTGCTGGGTTGTAAGTCGCCCTTCTGGCCCTTGTCTGGGTCTTGTCTCGGTGGGTCGGAGGGGCCCACGTTTGCAATTCCAGGGAGAAGTTACTGGAATTCCAATAGGTAATTCTAATCCACCACTCCCATTGCAACCCAGGGCAAGAATAGAGGAACACTTATCAGTAGGCGTGGGGACTCTAGGGGTCCTAAGTCCAGGCGAAACAATAGCTAACCAAAACAAAAGGCCCTGGCCCAGAGCTGAACCAGGCTTTATCAAATCATGAAGGGAGGAGTGGCTTGGGGTGATGACTGGGAGATTAGCAGGAAGTCGGGGACGCTGAGTGCTGTGGGCTCGGCTGGGGAGAGAGGTGTGCAGAAGGAGCAGTGTGTGGATCACAGACTGAGCATGTGTCTGTGCTTAGGGCTTGGTGCTTGGCTTGGAGGGCCACCCTCCATGCCCCAAGATGGCGGAGATCACTTCCCGTGCCTCGGTCTTAGCAGACGGCCTGGCCCACACTTACTGCCCGAACAATGTGGGCAGGCATCGCTGACCTGCCGCTGTTGTGCTTTAGAGTCTGCAGCTCAACCCCTGGCTGGGCCCGTGTGCATCACGTAAAGCCAACTGGGGGCATAAGGAAGTGTCCTGTGGCCAGCCCTGTTCATGTCACTCCGCAGAGGCAGGGCCAGCTGCTCTTTCAAGGAGAGCTGTTCTGGTGTCCGCCATACTCAGTCATGATCACCTTCACTCCTTGTCTTGGGGGCTGCACCTTGCGAAGGTCCCCATGTGTGTCATTCCCTGTCCGTGTGTGGGGTCAAGAGTTAGGTCTGTGGGGGAAGGAAGGAGCACCCTGGGGGGGAGGGGCTTGGCTGCTGGGGGAGCAGCATTGCAGGCGCGTGGAGGAGGTTTTCCTGGTCGTAGCCCACTGTGAGCAGCCGTGGTGGCCCTTCTGCAGCTGGGACAGCGATGGCCAAGGCTACAGAGAGAGGGGCCAGCCCGGGTAGAAATCCACACCTGTGTCCCAGAGCAGTGCGGTGAGTCCAGTGACTCTGCTGTCCTTGCAGCCTGGGCGGAGGTGTCCTCTGGGCCTGGGCCTGACGTCACAGCCAAGGCAGCATGAACCCAACAGAGCCCAGCCAGGGCAGTATAGGGACACGGGGAAACCATGTGTCAAAATGAGAGACAACAACGGCCAGTGAAGGCGAGCCCAGTCCCCAGGAGTACAGAAGAGGGACAAGCATGGCCCCTCATGGGTTTTTCTGTGACCTTTCATTGGTGTCCTGTGACCGCAGTCTGAGAAGGGGCTTGGCTGGTAGCCAGGCTTGAGGCTGTATGGCTGCGGCCAGATCCACCCAGGTCCCCAGCACCCTGTGTTTCAGCACATGCAGTGCTGATGCTGTCCCTGCCAGTAGTGCCCATGTCCTCCCAGCTTGGGTGCTTGCAGCTCTCTGAGTGATGGCCCTGTGGTGGGTGACCTTGTGGCCTTGCTGTCCCCGAGACGATTCTGGGCCGCTGCTTTACTGGCTGCCCAGGCCCTTCTGTGCTCCTCCCCACCCCATCTGCAGTCCAGCCAGTGCAGCTCAGCTTCCCTGGGCAAGCAGGCTGAGCTGACTGCCACAGGCTGGCTTCAGCTGGGCCCTCTGTGCTGTGGTTCGTTCTGATTGGCCACTTCCAAACCTCTGCTGCATTGCGGTCCCGTGCTCCCTCTCTCTTCTCAGGGAGCACTCCTCCTCTGCACAGCGCCTGCCTGCTGCCCTGCCCTGCCAGTCTGGCATGCTGGCTCTGCCAGTGGTACAGGGTCCTGGGTGTTGGGTGCGGCGAGGTCCCCAACCTCTGCTTCCTCTGGGTGTTTGGATTCACATTTTCTTTTTTCCTTCTGGGCTTCATTGTCACACAGATATCACTGTCCCCAGCCCCCGAGCCTCCATTGGTCCTGCACCGTATTTCTCTGTTGGGCAGAGTGGAAGCTTTCTTCTTTGAATGGTCTTGAACTTGGGTCCTCCTGCCTCAGCCTCCCAACCCTGACCTCGCTGCCCTTTCAGTGCCCTCTCCACAGTTACTCATCCTACCTGAGTGTTGAAGTTACTATTTTATTGTCTTTCTGATGCCCACGCATAGCACACACATCAGTCTAGGTTTGTGGCCACCTGTGCATGTTGAAACTCTGGTGTCACACAAGAGGTCCTCCACCTCCCAGGGATCCCATGGGCATTGCTTCTTGGGCAGCTGTGCCCGTGTTCCTGCATCCTCCCAGGAAGCCTCCCAGGGCTCTGGAGTGGGCGTGTGGCCCAGTGGGGCATGGGCAGCGGGCCTCAGTACTAACCCCTGGCAGTGGCTGCCAGGCACCTACAGTGGCCCCGTCCATGCAGTGCACAGGATCTGGGTGGTGATCCAACTGGTATCCACTGCCCCTTGGGACACAGGAGACTGTAGCAGCTGGGGAGTATGGCTGCCACCTGCCCCAAGGGGACAGGCTGCCCACAGCTGCTTGGGACAGGGCCAAGGGCTGGGGTGCTGGCTTAGGCAGCCTTCAGGGAGAGCCTGTGGGAGCGGTGGACATAGTTGCTCAGGAGGGCCAGGCTGTGGTGGTGAATGCCTGTCCCTGCACTCTGGGAGGCTGAGCCGGGAGGATTCCAAGTTCCAACCCAGCCCAGTCAAAGCCTAAAGGGCCGTGCACTCCAGCCTCAGAGTGAGGCCAAATCTGGGTCCTAGAGGCGCCCAGGCCGAGTCCTGGAGGCAGCTATACCTCAGGGCTGAGTACCCCTTCCCGTCCTGCCCCTCACAGGTCAGCGCCAATGGCAACGTGCTGCGCAGCGAGATCGTGGGCTCTATCAAGATGCGGGTCTTCCTGTCAGGCATGCCAGAGCTGCGCCTCGGCCTCAACGACAAGGTCCTCTTCGACAACACGGGCCGTGAGTGCTGAGGGGCACACTGGGCCACACCTGACCATCCTTGGCACTGTGGTGCTGGTGGCACCCACATGGCGCTGACTGAGCTGCTTACCCTGCAGCTGGGGGTGGGGAGGGGGCAAGGGGTCCAGGGCAGCCTCCTGCTGGACTGGGCAGTCGTCGTGGGTCACCAGCGGCTGGGACCCCTGCTGTCCTCAGGTGGGAAGAGCAAGTCGGTGGAGCTGGAGGATGTGAAGTTCCACCAGTGCGTGCGGTTATCACGCTTCGAGAATGATCGCACCATCTCCTTCATCCCTCCTGATGGCGAGTTTGAGCTCATGTCCTATCGGCTCAACACGCACGTGAGTGCCCTGCCACGCTGGGCCTCCGCGTCCCACCTGGGACTGGACACTACAGAGCAGGAGCGGCTGAGCTTGGGCCCCCACCATCCCTGCAGGTGAAGCCGCTGATCTGGATCGAGTCTGTGATTGAGAAGCACTCACACAGCCGCATTGAGTACATGATCAAGGTCAGCCGCTGCCTGGGTGGGTGGGGCGGGCGTGGCCCTGGCTGTGGCTGGGCCCGGAGGGTGCCTGAGAGCTGGGACTTGGAGCCACGGCCTGCAAAGCTGACCATGCTGATGGCCTGCAGGCCAAGAGCCAGTTCAAGCGGCGCTCGACAGCCAACAATGTGGAGATCCATATCCCAGTGCCCAACGACGCCGACTCGCCCAAGTTCAAGACCACGGTGGGCAGTGTCAAGTGGGTGCCCGAGAACAGCGAGATTGTGTGGTCCATCAAGTCCTTTCCGGTGAGGTTCTGTGGCGGCGACATTAGTGGGCAAAACCACAGCCCCCACCGCACCCTTCCCGGGCGTTCTGCCCCTGCGCACAGGGCTCAAACCCAGCACATTTTCTTCTTTCATTTTAATTTGGTTTTGGTTCTGCTTTGGTGCTGGGGATGGAACCCCATCCCTGGAACTGCAGCCCTGGCCCCTTTTTATTTTTCAAGACACAGCCTCCTGCCTCAGCATCCTGGATGCCTGGGGTGAGGGGTGCGCACCTCCAGACCCAGCATAGGTCTGGAGCCTGCAGCCCCATGTGTTACTGACAGGCACTCGCCACCAGCCGTACCCTGGCCCACTTTGCCCTCTTCATTTCTGGCAAGCCGTGTTGGCAGTGCCCAGCAGCTGAGCTCCAGGGCGTTGGGACTTACATTTCCCTAGTCTACGGCAGGATTCCGGGTGGCATTTTACACATCGGGTCCTTTGGGATGTCCAGAGCCCTCCACAGTTCCAGAGTCAGAGCCGTAAAGAGTCCGAGTCTCTGCTGTCTGTGTCCCCATGGCCTGTTCCCTTCTGGCATTGGAGCCTTGCACACCTGCCACAACTAAAGCCTGGCTTGCAACACCCTGCAGAGGAGCCCGGCACCCTCACCGCATTTGTATGGCACTAAAATGACCATCCTTCCCTTTTTTCTTTTTACTGATAGCAGGGGGGATTGGATCCAGCACCTTCACGCTGAGTCCTTTTCCTTGGGTCAGGGCCTTGCTAAGTTGCACAGGCCAGCTGGAGAGATACAGCTCAGTGGCATAAGCACCTGCCTGGCAAGCGCAAGGTCTGAGTTCAATCCCTATTACAAAAAGGAAAAAATTGTCGATTGGGACTGGGGAGATGCCTCACTAGAATAAGCACTTCCCTGGCAAGTGCAAGGGTCTGAGTTCAATCCCTAGTTCCACCAAAAAAAAAAAAAAGACTCAAAACCTTTTGGGGCCAGGGAGATAGCTAAGGAGAATAAGTGCTTCCCTGGCAAGTGCAAGGGTCTGAGCTCAATCCCTGGTTCTGGAAAAAAAAAAAAAAAAAAAAGTTGCCCAGGCCGGGCTGCCCCTGCTGTGGTCTGCCGGGACAGGCATGGCCCCGGTGTGCCCTGGGCTGTAGGCTGGGTGTGGTGTGAGGCAGGCCTGAAGGCCATCACTGACCATGCCCGCATGTGCCAGGGTGGCAAGGAATACTTGATGCGGGCGCACTTCGGGCTGCCCAGCGTTGAGGCAGAGGACAAGGAGGGCAAGCCGCCTATCAGTGTCAAGTTCGAGATCCCCTACTTCACCACCTCAGGCATCCAGGTACGTGGAGGGGGCAGGGGGCATAGGGACCCAGGCCTGGTCCCCAGGAACCTGCCTGTCCCCGAGCAAGCACCACACATCCTGAGTACTAAGGCTCAGGTCTCCTGCCAGGTGCGATACCTGAAGATCATCGAGAAGAGCGGCTACCAGGCGTTGCCCTGGGTGCGCTACATCACGCAGAACGGTGGTGAGTGCTGGTGGTGTGCGGGACGGGGCTTCCTGGGGCGCAAGACCTTGGCTAAGTGTTGCCTGTCCCATGCCTAGACTACCAGCTTCGGACCCAGTGAGGCCACCCTGTGCAGCCTGAACCCCAGCCGTGCCCCACACCGGCCCCGCCTCGGCTCCGGCTCCTTCCAGAGACTCCTCACCAGGAGGCGTCCCTGTCTGGGAGGGGATAGTGCCACGTGCCAGGCCTGGATGCCAAAGGCCACATGGCCACTCGACAGCAGCCGCTGTTCTGTCGTGTCACTGGGTCTGGAGCCCATGACTGCTGCAGCCACAGCCACGTCCTTGTGCATCGTGCCCCACATGGAACCCACACCTCACAAACGTCTGCAGCGGGTCATGGGTCCCCAGGTGCCCTGGGGCCTCGGCCTTGTGCTTTGTGTGTGTTTGTGTGACACGGTGACATTAAATCCGCTCACCCAGCACGACCACCTGCTGTCTGTCCTGGCTGCACCAGGCCCCTGCAGAGGGACCCAGGCAACCGGCCTGGCCCAGTGTCGCTTGCCGTGCCTGCCCGCGGACTGGACTCCGGAAGTGGGGTGGGAGTCTTTCCAGCCCCGCGTAGTTGGGGTGACCGAACCCCCACTGCAGCCTGCAGAAAGACAGAGAGGGGCTGCGCCCTGGTCTCGCCCTCCCGAGCCCCCAGCTCCATCTCCAGCACCACAGAAATGAGAACCTAGCGCTGGGAGGCTGAGGCGGGTTCGAAGGTTGGGGCCCGGCCCGGCTCGCAGTGTAGAGGCAGGACAGCCGGCCGCGGTGGCGGGCGCGCTTGCGATGCCGGAACACGGGAGGCTGTGGCAGGAGCGCCCCGAGCGCGAGGCCACCGCGGACTGCATGGCGAAACCCTAGCTCCGCAAAACCAGAATCGTGGGCAAGGAGCTGCTCCCTGCAAGAGGACACCCGCTCCGGCCGCCGCGGACTTGGGGCGCATGCGCACAGCCTCCGCGGGCGGCGACGCGGGGCCGGAGCTGACTTCGGGATGGGGCTGGGGCGGAACCCGCGGCGTGGGGCGCCACCGGCTCGCAAGCGGGAGGCTGGCGCAGGAAGAGCTCGGAGCCGGGCACTGCAGCGCGCTTTGAACCTGCACGCGGAGCAGCCTCAGGGTGCCGGCGGCTGCCCACCACGGCGTGCGCAGGCCCGCTGAGGACTGGGCGGGGCCGGCCCGGAAGTGGCGTCGGCGCGGCCTCGCGGTGGGCGGGGCGGCCCTGGGAGGGCGTAGGCGAGGGCCGGCCTGAGCTGGAGGGACCGCGTCTCGGCCCGCGTGCGCTTGAGTTTGTAGCGGCCGCTCTTGCATTTGCCAGGGAAGCGCTTGTTCTACTGAGCTATCTCCCGGGCCCCTAGGATGAGCTTTTTTTTTTGAGACAAGGTCTCATGCAGGGTCTCGTTATGCAGTTCAGGCCGCAAACTCGCTTCGTAGCCGCGGCTGGCCTCGCACCCTCCGGCCCCGCGCTCCCGCCCCCAAGCGCCCAGTGCTGGGCTCACTGCGCGGGTCAGCGCACCCAGCCTGGTTGGTTTTTATTTTTTGGCGGAACCGGGGATTGAACTCGGGCTGAGCCATCTCCCCAGCCCTAACGCACCCAGCCTAAGCAGTGATTTTCAAAGCCAGAAACAACCTCGAGGAGGCCCTCAAAAGGTAACATGGCTTTACATATATAAGACATGGAGAAAGCAACAAGCCAAGCATTTATCTCAAGAAATTAGCAATAAAACAACACACACACACACAAAAAAAACCCTAAAAACACAAAGAAGGGGACAATGGATTCGAAGGAAACCGAAGGCTTTAAATAAATAGAATCCACAAAAGCGTCCGTTGGGCTCAGGCGGCGCTGCGGTTTCCGCGCTGATGGAGGCGGGGAAGTGGCGGCTCCAGGCAGGATTTAGTGCGAGCCGCTGACGTCTGGGCTTGCTGGTGACTGCGGAGGCCCGTGTCGAGGTGAGCGGCGGACTCGCCGTGACCCTCCGTGAGTCCCTGGTCCCCCGGAGCACTGCAGTGGCCTACACAGCTGGGACAGGACAAGGCCCCAAAGCCGCGAGCTAAAAGGAGCCCACAGCTGCAGGCGAGCGCTCCCACAACACGTGCCCACGCAGAAAAAGGTCGTGGGCCCGGGAGACGGCTCAGTGGAAAAAGCGCTTCCCGGCCAAGCGCAAGGGCCTGAGTTCAATCCCCGGTTCCGCAAAAAAAAAAGAAAGAAGGTCGTTTTCCTAATTGACATAATCTATAATTTACTACTTGGGAAACTATCTCCCAAGGTCCTTCTAGGTGCCTCTTAGATCCTCGCCTCTTCAGTATACCCCTCTCCTCGAAAACCAGATAAATAGGAGCTGCCCAGAGAAGTTCTTTGTCTCAGCCCCCAGAGAGCTTCAGTTCTGCAGGAGGGTTGGATCCTCCTGAGCCCGGAAATCGCACCACTGTGCCATTTAAGCCTTCCGCATCCCCTCCTTTGGGAGATTGCGGGCTGATCAGTCGCAGTAACTAGGTAGGATTGACCCGATACGGGGCTGGAATGGAACCCAGGCAGTGCTGAGCTGCATGCCCAGCTCTGCTTAAGACTTGTCCTCAGACAGGGCTCTGGAAGTTGCCCAGGCTGGCCTCAAAGCTGCCGTGCACCGGCCTGGCTCGCCTCCAAGTGCTGGACGACAGGCGTGCACCACCACACCTGGGGCTCAGGGAAGATGAGCAAGGGGCTGGGGTGTGGCTCATAGTAGAGCACCGGCCCTGTATGCACAAGGCCCAAGGTTCAAGGCCCAGTACTACTAAATAGATAAACAGAACACAAAGAAGAGGAATGAAATTGAAAACTGGCTAAAGAATTGATCAAAATGAAGAGGTACAGGGGCCGGGAGATGGCTCAGTGGAATAAGTGCTTCCCGGCCAAGCGCAAGGGCCTGAGTTCAATCCCCGGTTCTGGGAAAAAAAATAATAATAATAATAATAATGAAGAGGTACAAGTCCCTATTGTTGGAGTAGGGATAGAGGTGCCACCATAGAGCTAAAGATGCTGCAGGGCTGGGGTGTGCTTCAAGTGTAGGGTGTCCCAGCTCCTGTCTTGGTGCACCTCACCGGCCATCATTTTGGTTTTGTTTTTTTGAAACAAGGTTTCACTATGTAGCCCTGGCAATAAATCTTTTAAGGCAGGGCTGGTGGTTTATTCCCAGGGCCTGCTGTGTGGCCTGCTCCCAGGACACGCTGAGAGGGTGATTGACACTGCGCATGGTGGCACACTCCTGTAATCCCAGCACTTGGGAGACTGAACACAGGAGGATCACTACGGGTCTCATGAGTCGATCTACGTAGTGAAACCCTGTACACCCTGTCCTAAATTCATAAATCTTTTAAAAATGTAAAAGAAAGGGCCAAGGAGATAGTTCAGCAGCTTAAGTGCTTGCCTGACAAGCAGAAGGCCCTGAGTTCAATCCCCAGTACCAAAAAAAAAAAAAAAAAGGAAAAGGATCACTGTGTGGGAGGCTCTCCCTGGCACCGCGGCCGCCTGCCTGGTCCCTGCAGCACTGCGCCGCGGGCCCCGGAAGGTGGAGTGGACGCCACCCGTCTGCTGGTGCAGCAGCATGGGCAGTCTGGGGAAACTGCATCAGAAGGAGAGATGAGAATCACCCGATTCCTACTGGGGATGTGTTCTGGCGCTTGGGGACAGAGGCTGCCAGGAGCAGTGGAGGCTGGGGCAGTGCAGGACATGAGCCCGACGGCCTCGCTGCGGCCCTAGAACGGGTAGGTCCTGGGAGGTCCCTCCACTTCATGAGGTCAACCTGCTGCAGGCACTTAGGAGGGTCACAGCAGGGAGCTCAGGCAGTGACTTAGGCAAGATCTGCCTCAAAGTAAGAACTGAAAAGGCTGGGACGCAGCCCTGGGTTCCACCCACCCTGGGACTGAAAAGAGCAGCGCTTGGGTGGAGGCAGGAGGAAAGTGACTTCCCACACAGGCAGGCGAGCAGAGAGGGGCCCTCAGGAGCCAACCGAGGCATCAGGCAGGGCAGTCATCTGCACCATGATGTCCCTGACCCCTGTGACCTCCAAGTGGGGCCAGGACAGAGGAGCTACACCCCAGTGTCCCCTCCTCCAGCACAGAGTGCCCTGTGCTGCGCAGCCAGCCAGGTGAGGGACAGTCGTCCTTGCCCACATCCTGTGTGCCATACACCAGCGGCCACCTTCCAGGGGTCCTCCGAGCTTCTGAAACAGCGTGCCACTCCAGGGCCACCCAGGGGCCAGCAGGGGTGTGGCCATGTACACTAGCTAGGTGTGAGGACCACAATCAGAAACCACCAGAGTCCACTAAGAAGATGTGCTGGAATAGCTCCGCAGACTAAAGCACCTGCTTAGGCAAGTGCATGGTTCGATCCCTGGCACAACATGCTGCACCAGCCCTGCCCCCAGAGCCAGCTGAGCCAGCCAGAGTCCCAGCATAGTGGCACATGCCTATAATCCCAGCACTGGGGAGGCTGAAAACAGGAGGATCACTATGAGTCCGAGCTGCGTAGTGAGACCCAGTAGCAACCAAATACATGTTTTTAAAAAAGGAGAGTGTCAGGTGGAATAGCACACTGCCCTGTACAAGCTTCCTATAGCTCCACACTGCCCAGGGTCGCACACTGTGATGGTACCATGACCTAAAGATGGGCGGCAGGGGCGCTGGTTGAAGGCTGGGAGCAGGTGGACAAGGTCCATCCCCCAGGGACTTTTCCGGGCCCTGGGCAAAGGCTGAGGCTCTGACCTGATCCCAACCCACATGGAGATGGTGAGGCGCTCTCTGCATCCTAGGCATGTGTGACACTCTGCTCCTGAAGGCGACCGAGCACAGTGCCATCCCAGGACAGTGGGCAGCCCGAGGCTCGCCCTGTGCTTCCTCCTGGCCTGGTCTGCCGCTTGCCACTCCATCCCTCGCCCCACTTAGTCACCGCACAGGGTGCAGAAAGGCCACCAGGGGGCTGGAGAGATGGCTCAGTGGTCTAAAGCACCTACTTAGAACAAGCAACGCACATGGACCGCGGTTCAATCCCCCAGCACCACATGCCAGCCAGCCCCGCCCCCTGGTGGGCGGAGCTAGCCACACACACACACACACACACACACACAAATAAATAAATAAATAAATGCATGCCACCAGGGGGCGCGCGGGTTTCACTGGGCGCGGCCTGCGTTCCAGGTTCTGCTCCCCAATGGGGACCAGGTGGTCCAGGCAATACAATCACAGAGTCGCAGCTCTGCGACCCAGGAATGGGGAGGGGACAAACTCATGGCACCGCGCAGCGCGCAGCCCTATCTGGGAGGCCAAGGCAGGCAGATCCCAAGGGCAAACCCAGCAAGGGCTGGGGCTGTAGCTCACAATGGGGCCCTGGGTCCAATCCCAGCACTGAAAGGAAAATTGCAAATAGCAAAGGAGTAAAACAAGCCCCTCAGCCAGCTCCTGGCACTG